ATATGTTTCATTTTATGTAGATGACCTGGCTGGATTGGTACGTATGTAATATTAGTTACAAAGTCTTTTAGTCTTTTATGGGATGATACCTGGTTAGTAAATTTCATACCTGGCGAGGCGAAGCCGAGTCAGTTATGAAATTTACTTACCAGGTATCATCCCATACCCTGTCACTAAAAGACTATGTACCGAATTTACCCCATCGATGAAACATTTACGTTTTATCTGTAGTTTATAATGGTTTTCTCTGCTAAATGCTTTATCAGGCTAATACGCAACACTGTTTAGGCCTACTATGAGAAATCAACGGAAAATAGACGTGCAAAAAGGGGGATTTTTTTAACATTGAATTTATTTTAATTAAGCCGTTTAATTTTAACAGAACTTTAATACTTATGGAAATAACATAGTATAACCCACAATGTACTGTATGAAGTTTAGTCCCATCGATGGACAGTCACGTGATAAATGCATAGTTTGTGCACCGAATGAAGGTCATTAACAAATATCAATATCGCAAGGGCATACCCTAGTTGAAATTAAAAATATAAGCCATTAATCGTTTCTGCATACTTTGTAGTTTCTGAAAAGTGCTGCTGCTTTGAATAGAATTTGCGTTTTGTAGTTAAAGTTTCAGGTAAATAAGCCAGTGTCGAAATATGTTTTTGACTTTTACCAAATATTTTGTGTACTTATAAAATCACGCCCTCGATTTAAAGAAAGGAGCAGCACTTTTCAAGTTAAGGATAATATACTTTATCTATATCCAAAAATGATTCAGATCTATGTAGTGTATGCCCTTGCAAAAGTACTATTTTATGAGGCACCTTGATGTAAAATATACGTAACCTGTGAATAAAAACACTACATAATTAATAAAATACATTCTCTTGGTAGTTAATTAAAATCGCACAAAACAAAGGATATAAATTGGTATTAATCCACTATTTAAAACCTGTAAATAATATTCCGTTTAATAATAAAACGCATTTTTCATTGTTAAAAAATTCCTCAATCTGCCTCTCACAGCACAAGAAATACGTCATTTTTACCAATATGACATCATGTTTACAAGTTCATCGCAATCAGTGCTTTGTTTATAACAAGCTAGATGGGATTTAACTAGGAACTTTTTTTAATGCATTGAAAAGTTATATTGTTGTTTATTATGCTAATACAGTTAAAAATTGCAAATTATTTCATTTTCAGGTATTATGTGCCTATTATATGACGTCATGTTTGTGTTTGTGACGTAATACATCGACAGGGTATAGATTTACAACTGACCGGGTATAGAATCACAATTGACCGGGTATAAGTAATCCATCGCCTCTCGTGACAGACTTCAACTAATCGTAACCCAGTATTTTACGGAAAAATAGACTGAGGTGGGGTAAGGAAATGTACCATTTAAAAGGTTGTAACCATCAGGACATGGATTATTTGTAAGGCTTTGTTGTTAATATGTTGACGGTGCGACCGTTATGGCAAGTGCAGATGTTTATTTTGTTAGAATTTAAATCGGGCTCGTACGTCAAACTGCACGTGACATTTGATGCGTCTAGACTCTGACGTCACATGACGTCGTACGTAAGTTACATTTCCCCCAAAGAACCCTGAACAGTGCTGAAAATAAATGAAGAACGTTTCGTTTGCTATTTATCTTCAATATTTATCCATTAAATCAGGGCATGTTTACTTTTAGTAGAACTTTTGCTACTATTCTCACGAGAACGTAGCTTTAACGTAGCTTAAACAAGCGATGCATTGTGGGTCCAAATTACGGCATCAAAAAATTCTATCGAATGAATGTGCAGTAGTCCGAATTTTCTCTTCGCACAGGCGTTGCTTTAAGAGCTCGCAGTGACGAGCGTCGCTTCGCGACGCTCGCTGCGCTCGCTATAATTAATGTTTATTTAGATATTTATCCAACCATTAAACTCGATTAAACTTTTTTTTTTATTTTTAGTGTTTAAGGATATACGATCCTCAGCCAGGAAGGATAACTCTTTAATTTATAATTTAATTCAAAAAGTCTTAAAATAAAACTTGAAATTGAAATTTTTTCATGCAAAAATTTTCATTTTATGCCTCTACGTATGATTCAATGTTCTTTAAAGTTTTAACAAACAGTACTAAAAAATTTGATATTTGTACCATGTAAAATTAAGTCAACCTTGCATATTAAAAAAAAAATCAAATTTCTTTTAATTTAGCCTTAATTACCAATGTTTATAAGCATGATTTGAAATTAGAAGTGATTTACGGTGTTTTCTTTGAAAGGAAACACTTCATACACTTTGCATTATGATACGATGGAAGTAAGTAGGAGAAAAAAAAGTACTAAATAAGTGAAAAAGTCATGCAATTTTCTTTAAAAGCCTGGATACCTATGATTTTTATTCCTAAAATGTATTTCTTGATCAATTATCAATTAAAAAATATGCAGTAGGTAGTTCAAATCGCATTTCCTGAAAAATTATTTGAGATTTACTAATTGTCCCTATATAATATGATTCAAATTTAAAGATGAAGTTTAAAGAAAGACCGTGGTAAATACATTTTAAATTGAGAATTTAGAGACATCTTTGTGAGCATTTTCAATTACTCAATGCCTGATTTTTTAGAACCTGAGGATCGGATAACCTTACATTTTGTAAGTAGCTTGTGAATAAAAACAAGAGCCCGATTCTCATTTTAACTTATCAATTATTGTGGAATGTGATCTTCTTTATTCTGATTTTCAGTAACATGAAATATACTGAACAAAAAAAAAGAAACGCATATTGCTTTACTCGTCAAAGAAGTTTTTTCAAATGTACATGAAACAACTATCTTTTATATCATTGGATACCTGTGACCTACTTAAAGGACAACATGGGGTTTTAAAACCCAAGTGTTGAATTATCTCCCTTGATTAAACGTTTTTATGAAAGTAGTGTTTTTTATGATTTCTTCTGAATCGGACGTCTATTTTTTGTTGATATTTTGGATTTAGAGAAACTATTAACACTCCTATTAAACCCATATTTAAGATTTGATCTTAGTGTTAATTCTGCAATGCCACGGCGAAACAAAGATGAACACAACCAGGCTAACGATGATACTAAACGGAGCTACACAACAAAAGTTGCAACAGCATTTGGAATACATCAATGGGCCTTGCAGCCGTTAAACTATCGTCGGAAGACCAAGAATTAGCCATCCGCAGGTAACCACATCCAGGCAGGAACGTCTGAGCCCATCCCCCCCCCCCTTTCAGCACCTCACGCGATTCAGAACTTGCTTCAAAAACTGCTGCTACAATTGCTGGATGAAAAAATCAGCATAAGAGAGCATAAATTGTTCGCAAGAGACTGAGGAGCTGGTATTCGTTCACGACATCCTTACATTGGAAATCCACCAAAGCTTAGACGTCGCAAAGGACATATGTATTAGTTTAGACGGTATGCCCCAAGATTTTGGAGGCGTCGACCATGACATAAACTTCACTTTTCTACTTGCAAGACATGATATTTTTAATTTTTATAAAAACCCTCTAAAATCAATTTTTCAAAAATGGGGATTAAACTGAAAACTTAGATTATCATGTTTAATCTGAATATGCGTTTCTTTTTTTGTTGAGTATAAAAATAGATAGAGAACGGACGTAATATGAGACACATTTTTATTATTTCTCACGAATCAAAACCACCTCGCATTCTTTCAAGCTATGTTCAGTTAGATGCTTTGTATTCCGCCAATCCACGTGTTTAAGCCCCGCTTGTCTCGCCTTCTACGCGATTTTTTTTAAAAACGCGCCTATTGATGAACCAATACATTAATTGGGAAATAAAAAACATTAACGTTTTGTTTATCTCGGACAAAAACAATGGAAATGTAAAAATTATTACATCAATCACATCATATTGAGGTAGTTCAAATCTAAGTGAATGCATATAGTGATATTCTATGGGAAGACGAGGGTAAAAGGCTACTTTTAGTTTATCATTTCCTCTGCCTTTAAATCATCTGCTTTAAAGTGGAATATAAACAAAAGCAAGAAGGAAAAAAAACAATTGACTGAAGTGCAAATGCTTGGAACAATGAAGGATATGGAGATAACGAACAGTATTCAATATCAAAATCCATAAAACAAGGCAGAATAGGAGCAGAGCATACACGGACCTCCGAAACTTCAGAGGTAGCCATGGAGGAGTGATCATCCCCGAAGACAATTTCATTTAATCAGTAGACCTTTGTATAATTATTATTTTAACTTTTGAAAATTATGCAAATTAAAGAAAAACAAGACAAAACAAAAACGAGCGCTTTACCGACTGAGGTATCCATTGATATTGAAATGAATATGCAAAAGTGTATGCCTTACAAAATTAAAGATTGTGTTTGAAAATTCTATGGATACTTTTTAATTCTTTCTAATCGAATAGATTCATGAAATACACGTCTTTATCATCTTTGTGATGCTCTGAATATAGAATTTATGTCATTACTTTGTCATATGAAAGCTAGATAATTATTGTCAAATATGTCATTTTTAAAGAGTTAAAACCGGTATAAATCCATAATTCATACAATTATTCAATATGTATTGAACACAGGGGCTTATTTTGGAAATAAATTTTTAACCTATAGTATAATAATAACACAAGTGGAAATGCAATGACAATATGTTTATTACCATTCTATTGGGTAGTTTAACTTTGCCATTGCATTTCCACTGAAATTTTTAATGAGTGCGATTCTGAGGAGGGGGGTACTGAGTTTATTCTGGAGTGTTATCATTATACTATAGGATAAAAATTTATTTCCGAAACAAGTGCCTATGATATTGAACATGAAATGCTGTTTAAGATTGGAAAAAAAGAGAATCGTGAAAATTTTTTAAAGAAAAGTGATGTTAGCACATGTATTCAGTTCCATAAATAGGATATGGATTTTCCTTCCTTATATATATTGTTTGCCGTACGGCAATGTTTTCGTTAAACACATAGGCATTTCTATTTTTAGGAACGTCGTCAGATATTTTCTAGGCCTTTATTTTTTTTCATTAAATGTGCCGTAAGGCAAATATGCTGGTATAAAATCACGTTTGCTTGCGATTCTCACAATAGAGATATACAGTTCACATGTAAAGGTGAGTATGTTTTGTTTTCTCCAGTTAACTATTCAACATTTGAATTAAAAAGATTTGATAACTGATAAGAAAGGTTTGTTATATAATAATATTAGATGATATGCATTATATGTGTTAAAATCTATTCCTAAATTTTATTTTAGTATTATCTTTGTTCTCTGCATAAACTGTCTTCATTGTTATATGTGTTATTAACTATTTATCAAGTTTACTTAGCTCTAATATACGGTGTATTATTGATTCCTTTTTTTTTTATTGGAAAGGAAATAAGGAACTTTTGGGAAAAAACAAAACCAAAATGTGCTATACCCTTTATTTATCATAATCTTTTTTACTTTCGTTTTACACAACTTGTGTTTTCCATTGTGTTTATTTTTAAACTCATTGGATATTTTACCGTTTTCTTATTAAGCTTAGTTATCAAACATGAAATAACCTTAAAAGCAGGGATAACTAGTTGAATTATTGTATCAAACAACATAACTGATTGCTGATTGATTAGTAATTTATGTATATATATTAAAATTTCTGACAATAAAAAATAAATTCCGATGAAGAAGAATTTAAAGCTTCTTAATAAAGATTGTATATCATACATGTATATATGTATGATATTATTTTTAAAAGTTCTCACTTCTATTGTTTAAAATAAGCTTTGTCTCTTTTAGCATTTGATGTTAATGAGAAAAGGTAAAGAATGCAAAATCTGAAAAGCAACATATGACCTTGTTAGCAAATGCAACTTAAAGTATGTTGGCTGATGTGTTTTATATCAACTGTTGGCATTTGTTGTAGATGTCTCAAGTTTAAAGATGTACTTTTGCTGAGAAATACCTTCATGTACCCATCTATATTTTAAGATTGTTTTATTTTTTAGAGCATTTTGATAGTTTCAATATTTACAGGCATGACAACAGAGTTCAAAGGACAAGAACTTTACAGAATGGCAGAAGATGGAATGAAAGATCAAACTTTCAGTAGAATACTTGTTCATTGTATAATTATTAGTACAGGTCCAATCAGAACTGAGTCATGGGTAAGACTATATTATTTGAAATGTTTTAAATGAACAACAAGAAACAATAATTAACACCTTTTTTAATATGTAAAAGGGGAAAAATACTGCATGCAGCAATTAATTGATTATTCTATCTTAACATATTCTGTACGATAACGATGTCTAAGCAGGAGTCATCAATTAGAAATTATGGATATAATGTTGCACTAAATTAAAATGTCTACATGTTTCATAAATAAATCTAAAATACTGATTAAATGATTATGCGGAGTCGTCCTCAAAATTCATGGACACCACTAAGAGCTTATTTTTCTTATTACTGTGAGGAAGGTCAAACGTTAATAAAAAAGACGATTCAGAATATCTTAAAAGTTAAAGCAATGCAAAGGTAATATATTATGAACATTATAAATGTAAATACTTTTTTATACAATTTGCACAACTCAGTTTGACGTTTCTTACGCTATTTTCTTGATAATGTCAATAATATGAATTTTTCACATGTTCATGTAAACACAGTAATTTTCTTAATTATGCCATACTGCCAAGTGTGTGCAATAGTATTTATCTTTAGACAGAAACTGAATTTTGCGATCACAATGTTTTGTAAGAACGCGCGATTTTAGTCTGCATCAGGCATAGCCCTGCTTAGCTTACATGTTAAATTTACAAATTTAATTTAGTATATTGATCTCGATATTGATATTTTGTCAATATTTTTATTGTGCTTCTGTAATTTGTAGTTTTTCATCCTCTCTCAAGATTTGTCAAATAAACAATACAGTTTGTTTGTCCCATTTTAAACCCAAAAGAAACATCAGAAAATTGTAAACAATGTTTACCGCAAATCAATAATGTGGAGACTGGTCTTATACTGATATGCACCAATAAGTTTGGTAAAGTTGTTTCTAAAAGCATTGATTTTTTAATAACCATTTGGAAGAACAATAACTTTTAAAAGGTTCTTATATTTAAAAAAACATATCTATTACTAATTATGTTTATTCTATGTGTACTATATACGTCATTTTTTATACATATTTCGTTCGGTCATAAAAAAAATCATGATATTTGCTTATTACTTGGGTGAAACTGTTTTCAATAGTATTTTTATCTAAAGTATGAACCATCATGGTGAAGAATACCATCTAAAAAGTATCTCATATTAAAAGGGATAGGTAAAATTATTAATAAATGTAACTAGATGAGATCTATGTGCGAGCAACGAGTGGGTCTTCCATCCGATTCTTGATTACGTGAGATGAGATTTTGATTGAGATTTTTTACAATGATTATATGATTATATTGTTAAGAAAAACGGTTATGCCGTTATGTTTTTTTTTTCAAATATTGAACGTTACATAATCATAAATTCGAATTCTCGCTCTTCCTGACAACTTATATGATTGGCCAGCCCTTTTTTCCCTTCAACTCATCTTAAAGTTCTCCTGCTTTCAAACACGTTTTGTTCAAGAAGTTCCAGAGATTGTTTATCGATTTCGATTTATTTGCAAACCGAATACGTTTGGGGTCAACCCTTCAACTCCTTAATGGGGACGTTTAGCGAAAGTTCAAGGTTGCATTTTTATCAGAACATTATTTTGAACATCTTGTGTTCAACATAACTTATCAAAATATTTCCAACTTTTGAGATATTAATAAGCGTCAAAGATTTAGCACTCTGGTCCCTTGTGACCCTTAATTATGTACCATTTGACATAAAAATCATAATATGCAGTCGTAGATTGTTCAGATAAAAATATTTGCTTCAGAAATGTATAACAAAATATTAACTGATAAAGAGTTATTGATTGAAGACTTTTGGCCCTTTATGGCCCCTAATTTGAGTACCCAGGCCCTTTTTATGGTTTTTACATTAAAGCTTGTAGGATTTTGAACACTTTATTTTCAACAACTATTCAGAGATTCTTTTTTGTACATAATTCCCAAAATATTGAAATGCACTTTTCACACAGTTTCAGGAATCTTTCACTGCATGAAAAGTCGGGTTTAATTTTACCTTAAATGCGATTTAAATGCTGCGATTATTTAATGTTTAAATGCATAATATAACATATTGTGGGATCGTAAATGTTAGAAAATAATTAGCATTTAATACGAGTTTAATGAAAAATTAAAAGAACAAATTTAATAAAGTTTGGAAAATTGTAAACCTACTTATACGTTCGGATTTAAGTCTGCCGTAAACAAATATTATACCTCTAATATACAAAACGTATAATTATTATTAAACATGCCAATAAAATAAAGTTTTATGGTCATATTAAATTTGTTCGTTTAATGAAATTTAACGTAGATCTTTACCTCATTATTTTTTGTTAAATTTACACTTTACTTTATAATACTTCCAAAAATTAAGTTATATACGGGAAATTGTAAACTTACTAATACGTTCAAATATTATTCTTTCATAAACTAATATTAAATCTCTTGTATATGTGATGAAAATGTACGGATTAAACCTTCCCATATCATTAAGATTTAAGGTTGTTTTTGATGAAATTTAATATCATTATATTATTGCATATTATTATATTTATTCCATCAATAATTTGTATGGTTTATAGTTGTTAGTTTTTGGCAAGTATTTTACAATCATACACAAATTCATTTCTCATTCAATTTTATTAGATGTTATCTCAATGGTGTACAAATAATGAGTTCTAAAAAGTACAAGATATTTCAAATTTATGCCTAAATGTCAAAATTTAAAAAAATTACAATCATGATTGTAGCTCAATTATAATGGAGTAAATTTTTACATACTAGTAGTAAGTAATAAACTGAAGTAATTATAAATAATTTAATTTAAGAATAGAATTGTGTGTAAAATTCAAATCTGCATTAAATCAGAACACAACAGGTCAAAAATGAAGTCATTCTGGACTCCAAAAGACTGCAAAATCTGTGACTGAAACTGACCCTATTAAAACTGCTGCATGGGTTGTAAATGGCTTTTCAATTTCCCACAAAAATATTATATCATACTTTGCATAAAAAGAATAAAAGTTGCCAATAAAAGTTGTCCATTCTTTTTACATGTACATTTAATAAGACACACTAAGCCACTGACAGAGAAGCCTCACTCGCCCACACGCAACAGCAAAAGGATCGGTCAGAGACACCACCTTTCTCTTACTTGGGTATCAAGATCTGCAACTTACTGCCAGCAAAGCTCTTTCAGACCACCCTTTTATTGTTCCCCAAGTATTTCCACAATAGATGTCCATGCACTAATTATTCACTGTGAAAAATACAATAACCAAAAAAAATCTTTTATATCATTTGGTTATGTCAATTCAAATTAAGGAAAAAGTATCACAACTACACAAAGCAGCTTAAATTTGTTTCCAATACATGTAGCCCATTTCTGTTCCAACTGCTAGGTATATTGCTTGATGATTGTAACTTAATTAACATATCCTCATTAAATCAACTTTACATTGGAATGCCAGACATTTTAATAGTGATATTTTTAACTTTGCCTTAAAATATCAAGGATGAGCTCTGAAACATGCACATATTAAAGTCCTGTATAAACATATGTACAAGTATCTTAACAAATTTTTTTAAGCCTTAATTACAATTCCATTTTAATGGAAAAGATTCTCGTCATAAGCTCTCTTACTTCAAATGGAAGGAAACAAATCAATATTTTACTCTTGCAATTCTCATTACTCTTGCAATAATAATTGAAATATTTATTAAAATCACAATTCACCCCTTTTTTACTCAGAAATGTCTCTACCTCATTTGCCTATTCTATTTTTTACATCTATGACTCACTAAGCCACTGACAGAGAAGCCTCACTCGCCCACAAGCAACAGCAAAAGGATCGGTCAGAGACACCACCTTTCTCTTACTTGGGTATCAAGATCTGCAACTTACTGCCAGCAAAACTTTTTCAGACTACCCTTGATTGTCTTCTTTTTTTTCCACAATAATGTCCATGCACTTATATTCAAGTCAGACTTGTACATATATGTAATATATAAATCAAGATAAAAGTGTATGTGATTGCATACTACACAATAAATCAATAAATGTTTAAACAATAAAAAAAAACCATAACAGTTTTAATCTATAATCAAGCATCATTGAAAACTTTCACTGTCAAAAAATTGCAACACTAGGTATATTTTTCTTATCTAACATTGAATGTGTCAATTAAAAATAAGTTTAAAAAAAGCATCAAATTTGTGCAAAACAGTAGCAACTCAGATATTTTTCATCTCTAATAGCCCATCTCTGTTCAATTACTACATCCATAGGTTTGACTCTTTTAGATTCTTTATTTGTCCTAGTTCTTCTTATGCTCTGCCTTTTAGAGTGCTTTGATTTGAGAGTGGCACTTTTGGTGTCCTGTTCATTGAAGACTTTCTCACAATCATTAGAACGCCACGTCAGTTTTCTAATTTCATAGATAGTATCATCACAAGAATCATTTTTTGTACTATGAAGACGCAATCAATATTTAAATCTGCTTCTTCCTGCTTTTTCTTCTCTTCTTGCCAAGAAGTTTTCAGCTCTGGAGAAGCACATCTAGCTCCTAATTTCTACAACAAACATAAAAATAAATACCCATTTGCCTATACATACATATTATATGTGTGCTTCTGGATTTATGCAATTGCATATATTAAATAGTACATAAAATCTGAGTTGTTTGTAAAATTATCAATTGACCTAGAGGAAACACAGCTCAATTTTAAGTAATTAAAAATTTACAGAAGACCACAAAAGACTATGCCATTTTTTCAAGTCTGGGTAATAAAGACAGATACTTAGCTATAATTTCAGGCCAGTGAGCTACAGTTGAAGCTAGTGTTGATATACATGTAAATTGGGGACTAATGATTTTTTTGCCATCTTCTTTTTTGAGCATTTTACCACTATTTTTACCTGCTTGACCTTGAACATGTTGAAGTGCACTTTTGTCTGTTTCTCCACAAAAATTCTTTCATTCAGCAGCAAGATACAATGAATAAGGTAAAAAGCTGTAACAAACAAAATATGAAAAATTAATAACAGGTATGGCTCTCCGTACAAAGAATATATAAAAAAGGAGAAAAAATATACAAACAGGGTGTACTTATGACTAACATGACTAAAGCAAGAAAATAGCATTTTACACAATGAAAAAGATTCTATGTGTCATTTAGTTAAGTGAATTACATAAAAAAAACATATAGATATGTATAGATCAAATTTATAAGACGACAAAATATGACATGAAACATACATAATGGTACCGTAGTCCGAGCACATGGGATTTGAAGATTTACAAAGTTTACGAAAATGCAAAGAATAGCATTTACAGCATTTAACATATAAAGACATACATATCTATAGTTTCACCCCAGCAAGCCACAGATTTTGTGGAAGTACATGTACATGTAAATTGGGGATTGGTGACTTTTTGTCATTTTTTTTTGGCAATTAACGAATGTATTTTACCTGCTTGACCTTGAATATGTTGAGATGCGCATCCCTTTTCTTCGTGTTCCTCCACGACATTTTATTCAATTTAGCAGAAAGATGCTGTTGAATAAAAAAAAATATGAACAATTAAAAACAGATATGGCATTTCGTAGAAAAAATATACAAACAGATGTATTTATGATTAGAGCAAGAAGATAAGATTCATACAATAAAATCCTTAAATGGTGGCAATCTCATACACAATAAGTTGTACAACAAATGATTAGTTCGTACCTCATACTGGGTAGCCAAATATCTGGTTAAGTCACTTTCAGAAGGAAGGCTCAGCAAGTTCAATGTTGATCATTCCCATAGCACTTCAAACTTTTCTGGCTCAATATCTGAAAGAACAGATGTATCTTGCATGTTTTTTTGTTCAAACTAGGATTAATTCTGATGAATGTAATAAAAATTTGAAAAGTTTATAGATGACAGACGAATACCAGACACAGATCAGAAAACTCGCTCTGGTCTTAAAATGGCTCAGGTGAGCTAAAAAAATCAATTCATGTGATTTTATTGATCTTATCAGAAAATTTAAGAAATCTTACCTTTGTGTTAATCTTCATACTGCTTTTGTCATTTCTTGTGATCATTTAGATTCCTGTAAATAATGCATGCATAATTGTGCATCATAGAATATGATAGCTATTTTAAATAATCATGCTTAAGTATTTAACATAAGAAAACTTATGCATAGCTCAGAATCCATTGCTTTTTGTATTTTTAGGATAAGGAATTAAGAATATAGGCCTAAACTTTGTCTTGTTTACTTGGTATATATAGCATTTCAAGTTATTGCAGTGTTTTTATAGTCTTATGCTAAAAGATACAAGTTAATAAAAACATTGTTAGGCTATTTGTGTTAATTGAAAATTAGAGCTGCATGGTTCTCACCATTTTCACAAGCTGTCCACATAGCCGGCGCTGTGGGGAATCACCTCAGGCAGTCGCACAATCCGCTATTTCACAAGCTGTCCACATAGCCGGCGCTGTGGGGAATCGTCTCAGGCAGTCGCACAATCCGCTAGTGCTGAATATGATTTTGAGTATGCATTAAGAAATAAATATATATTTTATTACATTGTACAACATACTCTGTAAATGCTGAATAGAGGAACACTAAAATTCTGGAACCAATCCCAAACGAGGAAATTCTGGTTAAAATCCATCTTTATTAATTATGAGAGATGTTTAAAAGTGTTAAATAATAATTACAAAATTTAAATAGCGCTTGTCCAAACGTTTTTACTGCCAGGCATTTTATGTGTAGTGCCCAGAACAGTAATATTATCAGTAGCAGAAGCAATTATTCATTCAAGGACACATGATAAAATTTCGTACATTGTAACTTGTTCCTACCGCTATACAGGGTCGTAATTGTCTTCACCTTCTGTTAAAACAGAAATTCCATCCAAAGTTTATCATGTTTCTTCTTTTCGTGTAACTCTCTTTCGCCCCTTTGTCCCATACAACATCATGATGAAGTTCAACATGGCTGCTAGGAACATTCCAAAAAATTGAATTTCGGCGCGGTGTGTTGTTTTTAAATTAATTGCTTTTCGAGCCCGACTTCGATCCCGATGTAATTGTACTACAGTAGTAGTCGATAGGGAAAAAACAAAGTTATATTCCACAATTTTGAAAAATCTACATAAGGGTTAAATAATTAAAAATGAGAAATGAATAAATTAAAATAAATAGGGTGCCTCAATATTATTTTTCAAATATGTTTCAACATAAGTTTACATTAAGTATAAAGAATTATTTATGACATATCTTTATACCAAAAATATACTTAAACTTTAAGTATAAGCATATTTACTTTTACATGTCGATATTCTTAAACGAAACGTATAATCTTCTTAATTAAACTATATTATTCTCGACGTATTTTGCATTAAATATGATTATACTTATTTGAAAACTGTAGTTAATTATATCACAATATATCTCATGTAAAATGTACCGTTATACATGAATTAAATTCAAAACAAGGAATTTACTGGAGTAAACGAATTGATTAAATTATATTAAACGCGACTTTTCATGCAGTGTTTAATTTGAAACTGTCCGCTGGTCTTATTGTTTATCCTAGGGAAACTGAATATACCACTCATGGAAGGGTCACACACTTAAAAAATGTAACCATTTATATCCTTTGGATTACTACACAGAAGATTTATAATCCCTTCAACGTGATTATGATGCAACTCGGATGCAACAATGTTTACAGCTATTTTAGGTTTGAACCACCTGATTTCAAAATCTGCGAGATAGCATTACATCTAGTCATCTACTCATTAAATATACAGGCTAAGTTAAATCTCTGCACTTCCAAATGGTTCCAAGTAGATTCCAAATTGAGTTAAGATTTTTCAAATACAATTTTCCGAATGACATGGAAGTATTTGGAATTCCGAATGCTTCCAAATACTTCCATGTAATTCCATGATACTTCCGAATGATAATCAGCGGGGAGTTGGAACTTTTACACACGGGTTAGTTTTACTCTCACACACCGCTTTCAATCGAAACAGCTTTACATATATATGCAACTGCTACCGATCGAGTATATGATATAATTATAGACAGTGCTTATAATCTGATCGTGCTTAAAAAATTTAATTGGAACATTAACAAATCATTTTTATGCCCCCGTAAACGAAGTTTGAGGGTATATATTTTTCGTCGTGTCCGTCCTTCTCTCTCTTTGTCTGTCTGTTTGTATGTTTGTCCGCAGAAATTTTAACCGTGCCCATAACTTTTGATTTCGTGGAGTCATATATCATATATCATATTTCACATGTGTATTCCTTGTGACAAGACCTTTCTTTGGGTACCACCAAATTTGAATTTTTGACCTTGACCTTGGAGTTTGACCTACTTTAAATGAAAATTTCAAACTTTTACTTTGGCCATATCTTTTGAACAGTAGGTACCAGGACATTTATAATTCACATATGTATTATATGTTGCAAGACCTTTAATTGGAAACCAACAACGTTGACCTCTGACCTTAACCTTGTAGATGTTTGTACCTGTAAAAAAACTTTAACCTTAGCCATATTTTTTTAGTAGTAAGGGATATGGATTTCATACTTATATACATATATGTAATCCTAATGATACGACCCTTCATTGAATACCAAGTACTTTGATCCTTTTACCTATACCTTTGAGTTTGACCTACTTTAAAAAAAGCAAACCTTGACCATTACTTATAAATGGTTAGGTGTATTTAATCCTTGTGACAAGACCTTTCACTTAATAACAAAGACGTTTGACCCCTTGACTTTGACCTTTGATTTTGACCTATTTTTAAAAAAATTAACCTGGTCATATAACTTCTGAGCGGTTAGGGCTAGAGCTTCCACACTCTTCATAAGTATTCTATGTGGTAAGACCTTTCGTTGGATACCAATTACCTTGACCTTTTGACATTGACCTTGAAGATTTTTGTACTTATTGAAAAAACTTTAAAATTGGCCTACTTTCAAATTTCTCGATTGTTTTTCAGTGAGAATACATTACTTTTGGTACCAATTAATTGAATTTGAATATAAGAAAAGTTTAATCTTTGCTATGTTGCCATACGGGGGCATAAGTGTTTCACAAAAACATCTTGTTTTGTGTTAGAACTTAATTCAAATGTCAATGCTATTCTACTAAATACTGGATGCTAAAAAATTCTAAAGAACTTTTGGACAATTTGAAATCACAAGACTTTACAAAAATCAACAGCATAAAAACTTACGACTTTTCAACTTTATACACAACAATTCCCCACGACAAATTAAAATCCAGGCTTTTTGATATCATTGACAGCTGCTTCTTCAACAAAAATGGAACTCGTAAGTTTACTTACCTCGTCATTGGTCATTTGAAAAATTATTTTGTTAAAACAGATTCTGATTGCACACATAAGTACTCTGAAGTTGACATCAAGAAGATGCTTGAGTTTCTGATTGACAATATCTATGTGGTTTTTGGAGACCAGGTATTCCAACAATCTATTGGAATTCCCATGGGTACAAATTGCGCTCCGTTATTAGCAGACTTATTTTTATATTCATATGAAGCAGAATTTATGCAAAATCTTTTACGTGAAAAGAAGAAAACACTTGCTGTGGCCTTCAACTCGACATTTAGATATATCGACGACGTATTGTCTATTAATAATGATAATTTCCATTCCTACGTCGACACGATATATCCTGGTGAGCTTGAAATAAAAGATACCACAGAGTCCGACACTTCTGCTTCATACTTGGATATTTTACTTGAAAAAGACACTAATGGTAATCTAACAACCAAGCTATATGATAAACGTGATGACTTTAACTTTTCTATCGTCAACTTCCCTTACTTATGCAGCAATATACCTTCATCACCTGCATACGGAGTATTTATATCTCAGTTGATTCGATATGCAAGAGCATGCTCTACGTATGAACAATTTCTTAAACGAGGTAAATTATTGACAAGCAAGTTGATGAAACAAGAATATCAGAGGTCTCGTTTGAAGTCATCATTTCGTAAATTCTATGGTCGATACAATGACCTTGTCAGCAAATACAATTTATCATTGAATGAAATGCTGACTGACGTTTTTCATACCAATTGTTAGTCCATTATTTATACACTGAATCGACCACGGATTTTTTCCGTTATATCCTGATTATGACAACGAGCACACGGCGGGTGGGACCGGTCAGCAGGGGATGCTCACTCCTCCATGGCACCTGATCCCACCTCTGATGTTTCGGGGGTCCGTGTTTGCTCTGCTCTTATTTTGTATATTTGTTTAATGGACGTTGAGATTGAATACTGTTCGTTATTTCCATATCCTTCATTCAACAGTTTCTATATTTATACATTACTCGAGTACAAAAGTTCTACTCTCTTTGGACACTGTTGTTCTCTCTCTCTCTCTCTCTCTCTCTCTCTCTCTCTCTCTCTCTCTCTCTCTCTCTCTCTCTCATTAGATTGAAGTGTAGAAGGTTGACAATAAATTACACGGATAAAACATGCTAAAATCTTGCAAACATGCAACAGGAGGTTAAAAAACAAACACTATCTTGTTTGGAAATCATATTCTTTTGCAAAATTTTAGTCAAAACATTGATATTTCTTAAAATTACGCTGCATAAGACATGATCGGCTATATAAATATTGGTACGGAATGTACCGAGTGGGTCTTACTGACGTCATAAGCAAACTAAGGGAATTGAGTGCTGCTAATTGAAGATCATCTTCGCAGTCAAGTAAAACTTTGATCGACTCTGCTGCCTCCAACTAGCGTACAAAATCCAAAATGTAATATCAGGCTTATCAATATTGTTCATATTCATTTCCGTATACAACAGAAAATGCTCAGGTCATTGTTTTGTATGACATTTAAGCACCATTTTTTTTTTAATAAGAATTAACGAGGCCTATTCTAATATTTCTACCCTACGGATTTTTTAAAAAAAATTCTATCAGTTAATATTTTTTTACTGTTACTTGGTTACTTACTTACAGTCAAAGTTTAAAATCTTTCTTATGAGACATTATAAAACGAGACCCCAATTGAATTAGTCTTCATTTACGTGAAAAAATTTAAACGGGGGGTAAAACAACCTGCATTCAATCAATCAACAGAATCTTTCAAAGAAGGATATGGAAATAGCGAACAGTATTCAATCTCATAATCCATAAAACAATACAAATTAGGAGCAGAACAAACACAGATCTCCGAAACATTAGATGTGGGATCATGTGCCATGGAGGAGTGAGCATCGCCTGCTGACTGGTCACACCCGCCGCGTGCTCCTTGTCAGGATCGGGACATAACGGAAAAATCCATCCTCAATTTAGTGTATAAATAATAGTCTAACAATTAGTATGAAAAACGACAGTCAGCATTTGACTCAATGATGAATTGTATTTGCTTGCAAAGTCATTGCCTTTAAACGAGACTGCTGATATTCTTGTTTCATCAACTTTTTTTGTCAATAATTTACCTCGTTTTAGAAATAATTCATACTTAGAGCATCCCATCAACTGAGATATATGCACTCCGTATGCAGATAATGAAGATATATCGCTACATTAGTAAGGGAAGCTGACGATATAAAATGTAAAATCATCATGTTTTATTATCATATAGCTTGGTTGTTAGATTACCATTAACGTCTTTTTCAAGTAAAATATCCAAGTATAAAACAGATGTTTCAGACTCTGTGGTATTTTTTATTTCAAGTTCACAAGGATATATGCTATCGACGTAGGAATGGAAACTACAATTGCTAATTGAAATACGCCGTTAATATATCTAAATATCGAATTGAGGGCCACAGCAAGGGTTTTCTTGTTTTCACGCATAAGATTTTGCACAAATTCTGCTTCATCTGAATCTAAAAATAGGCCTGCTTATAACGGAGCACAAGTTTTCCCATGGGAATTTCAATAGATTGCTGGAATACATGGTCTCCACGTGCACATAGATATTGTCAATCAGAAACTCAAGCATTTTTTTGATGTCATCTTCAGAGTACTTGTGTGTGCAATCGTGTTTTAACAAAATAATTTTGCAAATGACCAATAAAAGGTAAATAAAATTAGGAATTCCGTTTTATTACAGTGTATAAAAATAGATGTCAATGATACCAGAAAGCTTGAAAGAAGTTATACATGGACGTTTACGATGATAGGACATTGAGTGTGAGAGAATATCAGTGCAACTTCTAAATATAATGCGTATTGACCTACATTTGTAATAATGGTTTATTTTCAATGGACTTCCAGACTTAATAACGTACAACAATGTGTTGAAATCTTCGTATTTTTTATTCTTTTCATTTTTTTTCTAGTTTGGAGAACATCGGAGTCGAGAGGTAAGATTCAATAAAATGCCACTCTAAGCAAAGGAAGAAGTCTCAAACTTAGTTTTTTTCCTGTTGATTATCAAGAATATATAATTGATTACATCCTACAAAGTGGTTTGTTTTAATATTGGTATTTTAAAGAGGATTTCTAATGTAGTGAATTTACAACAAATGAAACATATGGATATAACGAACAGTGTTCAAGATCCAAAGTCCATAAAACGATACAAAACAGGAGCAGAGAAAACACGGACCTCCTAACCATAAGAAGTGGGATCATGTGCCATGGAGGAGTGAGCATCCCGAGCCGATTAGTTACACCCACCATGTGCTCCTCTTTGTGATCGGAAAATAACGGAAGAACACGTCCTCAATTCAGTGAACAAATATTGGTCTAACATTTGCAATAAAAAAACGTCAGTCAGCATTTGACTCAATGATATATTGTATTTGCTGTCAAGGTAATCGAATCGACCATAGAATTTGCGAAATGATGACTTCAAACAAGACTGATGATATTCTAGTTTCATCAACTTGCGTTTTAAAAAGTGTTCATACGTAGAACATGCTCTTGGGTATTGAATCAACTGAGGTATATAAACTCTTTACACAGGTGATGAAGGTGTATTGTTGCCTAAGTAATGGAAGTTGACGATAGAAAATTTAAAGTTATCACGCCTATTACTTAGCTTGGCTGTTATATTACAATTAATGTCTTTTTCGAGTAAAATATCCAAGTATGAAACACGCATGATTGTTAAGGCTTGAAAAGGGGGGTAGAATCTAATTTATACGGGAATAGTTTACTGTGACGTCTCACAAAAATATGACTTTAATGTATTTCTCATAATACCTGAAATTGAAATAATTTGCAACTTTTACCTGTATTAGCATAATAAACAACAATACAACTTATCAATGCATTAAAAAAAGTTGCTAGTTAAATCCCATATTGCTGGTTATAAACAAAGCACTGATCGCCATGAACTTGTAAATATGACGTCATTTTGGAAAAAATGACGTAATTCATGCGACGCAAGAGACAGAGTGGGGATTTTTGTAACAATGAAAAATGCGTTTTATAATGAAACGGAATATTATTTACAGGTTTAAAATAGTCAATTAATACCAATGTATATCCTTTGTTTTGTGCGATTATTCATTAACTATCAAGAGCATGTATTTTATTATTTATGTCGAGTTTTTTATTTACAGGTTTTGTATATTTAACATCGAGATATCTCATAAAATCGTACTTTCGCAAGGGCATACACTACACAGATCTTATCCATATTTTGAATATAGATAAAGGATATTTTCCTTAACTTGAAAAGTGCTGCTGCTTTCTTCAAATCGAGGGCTTGATTTTATAATTACATAAAATATTTGGTAAAAGTCAAACATATTTCGACATTGGCCTATTTACTTAAAAATTTAATTATAAAAACGCGAATTCTATTCAAAGCAGCAGCACTTTTCAAAAACTACAAAGTATGCAGAAACAATTAACAGCCTGAATTTTAAAGTCACCTGAGTAACTTAGGTCACCTATTGCTATCCGTTTTCTTCCGTCGTCGTGCGTCGTGTGTTAACATTTGAACATTTTCAGCTTCTTCTCTGAAACCACTGAACCAATTTCAACCAAATTTTGTATAAAGCATCTATGGCTGAAGGGGAACAAAAATTGTGAATTTGTTGGTCCCCGCCCCCCTGGGGCCTGAGGGGTGGGGCCAAAATCACTTAAATTATTGCAATCTTTAAAAATCTTCTTCTTTACCCCTGGACATCAAGCAGGCAAACTGTTGGCATGAATGTAATGAGCATTGAGTCCTCTACCGAAATTGTGAAATTCATGGCCCCAGGGTCAGGGGTTCTGGTGTTAGTGCGGGGCTATATTGATCATATAGTGAAAATGCATGATTTCTTTGAAAATCTCTCTGCTCCTAGGTATTAAATAAACTAACTAAGTACATAGTTATGATGAGCAAGAGTGCCTTTTCCAGATTTGTGAATTTTATGGCTCCAGGGTCAGGGGTTTTGGTGTTAGGGCGGGGCTCTATTGATTATATAGTGAAAATGCATTTAATCTTTGAAAATCTTCTTTTCTGCTTCTGGGTATTAAATAAGCTAACTAAGTACATAGTTATGATGAGCAAGAGTGCTTCTTCCAGATTTGTGAATTTTATTGCCCAAGGGTCAGGGGTTCTAGTTTAAGGGCGGGGCTCTATTGATTATATAGTGAAAATGCATGATTTCTTTGAAAATCTTCTTCTCTGCTACTGGGTATTAAATAAACTACTGTAACTAAGTACATAGTTATAATGAGCAAGAGTGCCTTTTCCAGATTTGTGAATTTTATGGCCCCAGGGTGAGGGGTTCTGGTGTTAGTGCGGGGCTCTATTGATTATATAGTGAAAATGCATTTAATCTTTGAAAATCTTCTTCTCTGCTTCTAGGTATTAAATAAACTAACTAAGCACATAGTTATGATGAGCAAGAGTGCCTCTTTCAGATTTGTGTTAGGGCGGGGCTCTATTGATTATATAGTGAAAATGCATTAAATCTTTGAACATCTTCTTCTTTGCTTCTAGGTATTAAATTAACTAACTGACGTTATAAGCCTCTTTTTTCGGTGGCTTTTCCTACTGACATCAAAGAGATGCTTGGGTTTCTGATTGACCAAATCTATGTGGTTTTTGAAGACCAGGTATTCCAACAATGTATTGCAATTCCAATAGGTATCAATTGCACTCCGTTATTTGCAGACCTATTTTTATATTCATATGAAGCAGAATATGTACAAAATCTTATGCGTGAAAAGAAGATAACACTTGCTTTGGCCTTCAACTCGACATTAAGATATATCGACGACGTATTGTTAATCACCAATGGATATTTCCATTTCTACGTCGATATGATATATCATGGTGAGCTTGAGATAAAAGATACCACAGAGTCCGACACTTCTGCTTCATACTTGGATATTTTACTTGAAAAAGACGTTAATAGTAATCTAACAACCAAGCTATATGAATAACGTAATGACTTTAACTCTTCTAGCGTCAACTTCCCTCACTTATGCAGCAATATACCTACATCACCAGCGTCTATATATATATATATATATATATATATATATATATATATATATATATATATATATATATATATATATATATATATATATATATATAAAGCACTAAAAAACCAACAACACTGTATATCCTATATGTCGGATCTACCAAGTAGATACAAGGTCACGGATGGAAATTTATATAAAGCAATAAAATGACCAACGACAAGAACAATAAAAATTGTCAAATTTTCGGGACGCCCTGTCCCTTCCTCAGGACAAAGAATAAAGTTAAAAGGTCATAAGAACAAAGGAAAAACAAAAACAAAAACAACTAGCACTACTACTAAAATACTAAACACTATATATTTACAAACTTAGTTACATGTTGAATTGGAAATTTTTAAGAACACTATAATTAAAGAAAGAAATCCGGACCGCTATGAAATGCGTCCTGTCTATCGGGTATGCTCGGGTATATATATATATATATCAGTAGATTCGAAACGCAAGAGCATGCTCAACGTATGAACATTTTCTAAAAAAAGGTTAATTATTGACAAGCAAGTTGATGAAACAAGAATATCAGCAGACTTGTTTAACGTCATCATTTCGTAAGTTCTATGGTCGATACAATGACCTTGTCGGCAAATACAATTTATCATTGGGACAAATGCTGACCGACGTTTTTCATACTATATTAGTACATTATTTATACACTGAATTGACGACGGGTTTTTCCGTTATTTCCTGATCATGACAAGGAGCACAGGGCGGATGTGACCGGTCAGCAGGGGATGCTCACTCCTCCATGGCACCTGTTTCGGAGGTCCGTGATTGTTCTGCTCCTATTTTGTTTTGTTTTATGGATGAACTTTAAGATTAAATACTGTTCGTTATCTCCATATCCTTCTTGAAACTAAATAGATTGGCGTTTCATACTACCGAAATTATTAAAATTTGTATGTTTCTGACAGTGATGCATGTATCACATTATATCAGTCGTGAATAGACCAAATGATGCTGATAAGATCAACCTTCTTCTTTCATAATGTTTGGAAACAAATCAACATAATTTATCAATATATGTAGTCAGGCTTACGACAGGGTTATTTAAATACAATGTAATACTATGTGTCAACAAATATTCAAGAGTTATCAGGCTCAGCGTGTATAACAATTTATAAAATAAGATGGTAGTTTTCCAATATTATACGTTAAAATATTTCGATTTAAATAAAGTTTAACATTGTACAACTATTATCATAAGTGCGTAAATTGGTTCATTTATAACTTTATTTATTGCAATTAAAGTTACAAAAAATGAGAGCTATTGCCATACTAATTTTGGGTTGTCACTCTCTCGCCCTACAAAACAACAAAAAAAGATATGGGTCATATAAGATTTTATTTTGTAGCAGTTTATCCTTATTAAACATTGAATAAATTGTCAGTTTTCTAAATGATTGTGAAAACACTGTGAGATATAATTGGGTCATAGACAAAACTCCATTCAGTTTTAGAGATGATGTTTATATTATCAATAATCATTTAATCTAATGTATCTGAGCGAATTTAATTCTCACTGCAGGATTCTCCACGAGCTGTTTTACTGTGTCGGTTCCGACGCAGTAACATTTTTTCCTACACAGTAACGATTCAAATTTTATGCGTGCGACAAACTAAAACAAATTCCGACACAGTAAGATCTGTGATAATCAGAAAATCGAACCACATAAATTATCTCTATCTGAAACATGATTAATCAAACAATTCTACCGTCTTTCTATTCTAAAAGGTATCTAGATGAAGGAACAAAGACAGCTAATTTGTTTTCACATTCATGAAATGGTTGATTGGTAGTTGCAATAAAAATACATTGCATTATTTAAATAAAAATCTTTCAATAATTATGTCTTTTCTGTAAAGTCACGGCTCTAGAATTATGTAGGCACTGTAAATTAAACATAACATCGCACCATGTAATTGATGTAAATAAATTGTTTTAAATTTTCAGGAAACTCTTACAAGCATTTTACTATTCTGAAGTTTCTTTTTTGTGCAATTCGCTAATTTGATCAAGAAAACTGACATAAAAATCACAGTAAATTTACTTTAAAAATCGTAAATCGGCCAGAATTACATCTGCTTTTCAGAACATGTGCTTTTATTTTATCAATATGTACGACATACCATTTATATAAAGAATAACTGATTTTTTTTTAAAGTATGTGCATGTATTCTTCGGTAATTATAATGTTGCAAAGTTGATCGCGAAAATACCACGATCGATATTTTGGTGCTTTTCGTAAACTCTGCAACACAGTAAAATTTCAAACGATGGAGGCCCTGACACTGTATTATATGTAAGATCATATACTGCATTCTTTAAGAATTCACATAAATATTATCATGCCTTAATTAACATCAAAGTCCATTCCTTTCCATTTACTTCTTAACTGAAAAGACAAAGAGTCATCAATGCACTGTATGCATAACACAGTATCATTTTAATGCATGTTTATTTAATTATTCAAGCTAATGTACGTGAAATGGTATTCTTATCTTTAAAGTCACATGTTAAGAAACAAAGCTAATGGTTGCAAATCTCTTTAAAAAAGTATTACTTAGTAGTTACATGTAAGTATGAAGTAATTTATATTCTGTGATGCTATTTAAAGCTTTATTTTCAATTTGAGAAGGACGTCCATTTTCGTGAATATTTGAACTTTAAAATATCGATTTTTAATGAAATTGAAACATGTTATTCAAGTAAAGACTGTTTTTAAAGACGCTGAATGTTTTGATTTTTATTCATTAAGGTATGTGAAATCCTAGGAGAAAAAAACATTCTTTCTGTACGTATATTCTAAACTGTAGCAAATCGGAAAAATATTGTATACATTTTTTGAAAACAATTCTGATATCAGATAAGGAAAGGATTTTTTTTTTACTCTTTTTAATTTTCCTTGTGTTTAGAAATAGAATGACTTACTTAGAATTTTTTTAAGCCTATATTTGTATCTTTATCTTTACATCGGATTCTGTAATGAAGTTTTGTTATTATTATTATTTTGTGTGTCTTTCATTCAAGAGATTCAAAGTAGCCTCATTTAAGTTGTTTAAAAACAATAGAGAATGAAACAAAAGCCTTTTTTTTAAATAATGTGAATGTGAAAAAAATAATATTTGACACAATTTTTTTCGCTTCAGAATTACATGAAGGAATTTCTTGCAGAGGAAGAAAATGTAGAACCATTAGGTAAGCTTGTTTGATTTCACAAGTAAAGGTGTTTTGTGTTCAATGATTGATCAGAAAAAAGCTTTTCAGTGAATGATATTTTTTCGTCTCACAATTATGATAACAGTAGTTACATGTAGACAATAGAAATAAAACTGTTTTTGTCTTGTTATTTTGATTTCCTATTTTTTTTAACTATACGAAAAAGAAGTATTTGACAATTAAAGACATTGTATATTGTTTTATCAATTTACAAAATTAATTTGATTATCATCTATTATTGGAGAGTACGCCCGCTCCTCATTTAGAAAAGTTGATGCGATATGAAGGTGTTCGTCGTTTGTCTGCATTTATTTCAATCTGTATGTTTGTCTGTAGGTATTTTTTTCAAAATGTGACTCATTCTACAGTTTTCGTCCGACTTCAGTATAATTTGGTAATAATTCACCAAGATACATGATGCTATGCATTTTTTTTTATCTCAATGAATGATGTTCTCTGGTAACTAAAAACAAAAATGTCTTTGAAAGCTACTACAGTTTTGGGTTGATTTCGATATAACTTGGTAGAAAGCTATACTAAGAAAGATTATTCTTATATCGGATTATGTTTTTTTTGTTTGCCATTTTTCACCATTACTATATTAAAGTTTGTGAAATTCTTTTCAAAATCTTTCAAACTATTACAGTCACACGCGAGGCGTAGTTTAGAGTGTCTGCTCTAGAGTCGCGAAGTAAGGATTTGTATCCCACTGTTCAATCAAAATGGTACTCCTTTATACTGTTTTTTTTTCGATTTCAATTTAAGTTGGTGTACAAGTAGACTATATTAAACCTTATTCTGTATATAAGTTTTTGATTTTGTTGAAGTGTTTCCATGATAATTATTATTTTCATAAATGTATAAAAATCCTTCAAAATGTCATGTCTACTCTATTTTTGACAAATTAATAGTATTATCAATCTTGATTTAGAGAGGTATAATCAAGAATCATTATTCTTGTTATTGCTGTTGCCATTCTTTAAATTTCAAGTGCTACCTTTATCCCTTTTTGCTAAAGAAAACCAGTCAGGTTATAGTTTTGCTAAAGGTTGAAACTTCTGTTACTGTAAATGTATCTTATTTTGTAATGTGTTCTATATCCATCGTTTACTAAGATTTCCAACTGGAAATGTTAAATTCGATTCACTGTTTGCTGCCTAATGAAAACTGTCATAGTAATACTGGTATGGGAACACTATAAATTTGAAGAACAAACGCAAGTTTAATTGAGTAACTTAACAACAAATCGCTGAAGGAAAAGAAGATTCAGATTTAAGATTTTCTTTATTTTGTTTGTTCTAAATCAGTTATTTAAAGATGATTAAATTATAAATAGAATTTTTTGGATATTATGTAACCCATATCTTCATATCTGTGAATATCTTTAATTGATCCCTATTCTGTATTGCAAGCTCCTTCATCCTATGAATTCATTTTTTTGTAGCTCGTGAAAACATAATGGTGATGTTCCTCACTGTTATTTTATGTAAGTTAAGAAGAAGAAATGAGATTGATTTATGCAATCATCGACAAATATAACAATATGTAAAGGCATTTTGCAAATTGCTATTTAAATACGTCAATGCTGAACTGTTTTGTTTTTCTGTGAATTGTAGTATTATCAAACTTCCTGTCGATGGTTATTTCCTCTCGGAGCAAAAAACGATATTTTTTACTTTGGACGGACAAAGCGCTGTTACTTGTGCTATGGACATGTGGAGATGTGGAACAGAATCCAGGACCAAATAAAACCACTCCTGGAAAGAGAAGATCTGAAATTCTACGCGAATTCCGAAGATCCGTCCAGACAATACTACTGGAATTGATCTACAAAGCTTATGGCGAAGAAATGCCATCAAAACCATATAGCAAAAATCCACCTGGATGGGATGAGTACCAACCAGAAATAAAGTTTGGGAACATCTCAAATCTCAAATCTAGAGAAGATAAGATATTCAACAAGATGATATATCTCCTAAAGAACCAAAAGCCCGTGCCTTTATCATCTGAGTGGGAAGCTCTACTGAGTCACTACACCAACCTACATGAAAAACTTGAGGTCGCAGAAAGTAAAAAAGCATTAAATTGTTGGATGCTCGAGAAAAATCTGGCTCCATTGTTAAAAAGTTACTCTGAGGATGTAGATGACCCATCAGGAGAAGTATTGATCATGTGCGTAAACATTTTGAAGGTATGTGTTATTATAACAATAAATAAAAAATTATATTCTTATTTATTTTGAGTCAGCTTTTTACATGGACGCTAATGAATGAAACTGATTTTTTTTCGAATTTTGGAACCTCACTATATAAAACAATACACATTTTCAAACATAACAATCATTCACAAAGTATTTTCGATTAAAACGATTACTAATGTGAAGTAATTTGAATAAAGAATGATAACATTTGAATTTGCTTTGGAAAATCCAATTAAGTCTGATGGCGTACATTGTCTAATGAAGATGTGATTTTTATAAATATTTTTATGTGAAATATTGCTTTTAACTTTCTTAGCATATAGATTTCGTTTTTGAAAAAGTGATACAAAATTGAATCAAACCTCTTAATGTTTCCATTTACAGTAAATTATTTAAGTAATGTTCAACATTTAGTACAAACAATCTTTAAATTTGTTTAGAAGGCCCATGGAGGTGTTTTAGAGACCAAGGAAACCGATGGCAAAGATTGGAAAAAACAAGAGAGTAAAACAAATGGGCCAGAGCAGCTCATTGCAGAAGCAAGGAGAGAAAATATTTCCTCGAAATTATTCAAGCTCCAAACATATGTTTTAGAGACCAAGGGAGACGATGAAAAAGATTGGAAAACACATGAGAGTGAGCCAAATGGATCAGGACTGCTGATTTCAGAGGCAAGAGAAAAAAACCTTTCCTGGAATTTATTGAAGAGTAAAGAAGAGTGTAAATCTGATTTTGAGGAATCAGCAGGTTCGAGCAGTTCAAGTGATCATTTTACCGAGATTCAACGTGTTGAAGTTCCAGATCATTCGCAGGTACTTGCAAATAATTTTTACACGATCACCAACGAGCTAGATATTTTCATTTAAAAGAATGGACTGAAGAAATTACGTTTACCATCGCAAAACATTTCAAATGTCCATATAATTCATCAGAACCTTTTGCATGAAATAAAAAGAAAAATATTAATTTTCTGTTATCTCAAGTGTGCGAAAAGTTTTTTTTTTGTACATTGTGAAATATTTTGATACGTATGCTTGAAATAAAACTGTTTTTTACATATGCTTGAAATAAACAATATTGTTTTATTTTACAGAGGAAAAGAAAAAGAATGGAGACAATAAGTACAGTAAGAATGATTAAATATTTTATTTACAAGCGATTTGTGAGTAGACTGCAGAACAGAGCGGTAGTAGGGGGTTCACTTTACCCGGTTTCCGAATTTCTGTCCTTCAAGCAATACCTATATATGTCAAGAACTGTAAGATGTATGGTTTCGATATTTTGCACATATGTAGCTAGAAACCATTGCTTTTGTAATTCAGTCTGCCTTCCGACCTAGGTATCCTTCAACTTAACATTTGACCTTTTTTGAATGACTCTGTTTTACTGGGAAAACTATAGTCTTTCCCATAACCTTTGATTGAAAGAGGTTTTGTCTATTATGTTGTATTCCTTTTGAAAAGACCAGTGTGACATCTTCACCATGACCTTATAGTTTGACCCACTTTAACAAAGAATACTAAACGTCAAAGCCGCTTAATCCGAAACATCCATATATATATATATATATATATATATATATATATATATATATATATATATATATATATATATATATATATATATATATATATATATATATATATATATATATATATATATATATATATATATATATATATATATATATATACACATATACATATACAGTGGACCCTCATTTATCCGGACGCTTTGGTTCCCAGTCCATTTGTCCGGATATGTGAAGCATCCGGATATCTGAATCACCAATTAAACAAGACAACACAGCATTTAAAAATTTCGTTCCGATGGAAAATCGTCCGGATACTGAAGCATCCGGATATCTGGCGTCCGGATATCTGAAGGTCCACTGTATATATATGGATGTTTTTATATGGAAAATAATATATTTGTAAATATTTTTTTAGGAATTTTAGCAACGATGGCTTAAATTAAATGTTGTCGATTTACAGTACTTTGTCGTGAAAAGAAAATGTTCGAGTTTGTTCTTCATGAGATGTAAGCGATAAATTTAATTTTTCGAAGGTGATTTCACGCGATATCAACAAGAAAAAGACTTTATGGATATGATTAAAAAAAAAAGTTGAAACAACTTATGGACAATTATTTTTTAAAGAAGAAAAACAAATATATTTTTCGCGATTGGGATCGGACTAAACGGTTTAAATCTGGCCATTGACTAAACTTTCTTGGGCAGTGTAAATTTAAATACAATTTGTAAAAATAGTTTTCACGTAGAAAGGATGGTTCACAATTGAGAATTTTTAATTTTACATTAAATATATATTTTTTAAAAATCTCTACAAATCTTTTTAAGAATCACAGTACTGAAACTTATATAGAGGCATCTTCAGATAGTTTTGATTCTAAATTGTCATCCATGCCCTCAACGGGAAGATTTGGGGCCACAATAGATAATCTAAATACATTGCAATTCATCAGAAAAACACCTTCAAATATCTTCTCAAAAACCAATGGACCATTAAATCTGAAATCTATGTGGAAAAAAACCCTAGTTTAATGTTGATTCTAAATTTTTAAAAGAATGATCGATATGAGGAAAGGATGGACCACATTATAGATTACAAGAGGACATATCCGGTGAAGAACTACACCGCCATAGTTACTAAGGTGAGCGTTGTAGCTCTTTGGCCGAGTGTCTTAAGCTAACTTTCTATATTTTTGATGCTTGTACCACACTCTTAGATACAATTGACAACAATTATGGATGTAAACATATGAATTTAAATTTAACTATAAGAATTATTTGACAGTCAATAGATAAAAATATTACAAACTCCTACTAAAAGAGGGTTTTTTTTGGTTGGTTTGACTGTTCTTTTTTGTTATAAAGTTTTGATAATTACTTTCTTGACAGAAAACTCAGGAAACATCAAAGGAAAACAATCCATTATTCACATACAACTATGGATTAGATACCCTGAAAACGACTGGTGAACAAAATATACGGATGAATGAAGAAAATGTTGATCTAAACATGGCGCGAAGCAACAGCCCTTTTAACGAGTCAAGTCGTGACCAAAGTTCTAAGACTGGCGACAAATTCGGGGTACTAGCATTTACTGTTTAAGGAATTGCCAAATTGCAAATGAAATAAAATCTATCTTCTTAATCACAAGTGAAGCAGATATTAGACTTTTCATATTAAAGCAAGAGTTGGATTAAAATATTTTCAGTTTTATATTTGATACGTGTATGTTAAAAATGACAGGCCCTGTTAGAAATTTATTTTATGTATTTATTTTGAGATGTACATTGTCTTTGGTTTAAAAAGCAACGTCAGGAGACTTTTCCCAGCACCCTTTCCTCCGGTGAAGAAAGACATGACAAAGGAACTTGTCAAGAGCTTATTACAGATTTGAGACAAAACGAAGGAACTAGTCAGGATGTTTTTCCCGATTTAGACCTCATCCTTCACACTATCTTTGATGAAATGGAAGAGATGCAAAATGACAATTTAATTGATGTAAGAATGTCATTTAGTTTGATTGATATGTGCAACAAATGAAAATGATTTTATCTCATTTATCTGTTTTATTATTTCAGATATCTCTTTATGAGGTAGGTATATTTGATACTAATTATCAATTAAATATATTGTATTACATGTATCAGTTTCCTAAAAAAAACATCATTTGAAATAAAATGAAAGATGTACATATCTTATCTAATTCATATTGTGCAGGAAGATATGTTAAGAATGTCCCTGAGGTATTTCAAAGAGCTCGGAAATAATAAACCATCATCTACAATGATACAGTTGTGCATGGAAATACTGAATAAATGACATTGAAAAGAATACGTGAAACACTGAAGCAAAATGTGATCAAATGCATGTTGGAATGTTAAACTTCTAGAAAGAATAATTATTCTCTTCTGTTATATTTGGTAAAGGTTCATTGATTAAAAACGGTCAATTATATCAACATGTTTAATACCGTTTATAATTCCACAAGAGTCTAATTTCTGTATTGGGTTTTAAGTCCAATTTCTTTTAGATTATTTCTTTATTATATTGTGTAGCATGTGTGTTCCTCTCTTTGTGACATTTTTGATATATTTAGTTGTGTGACAGTTTTTTTAGCGGTATTAAATTGTTGACTAAATGCTGTATTTTATGATTTATATCTTATGGATTTTTATGTTATGGCACATTTATATTATGGCAATCGGTGTTCTTTGCTCACAATGGTTATAAAGGACGTGATTATACCTGTAATCTTTATATTTTATTTGAAATGGATCACATGAAATGTAAATACGAGGGTTGTCCATAAAGTAAATGAAAAAAAATGATGACAAACGAAATGAAAAAAATATGAATATTTATTTCAATCACATATTTATGAACACATACTATGTCATTTTTATTATGCAATGGAGGACCATTTAGTTTCACAAATAACGTCATATTTCATAAATTGTATGGAAAGGTCTCGCCTATCCTTTTATTTTATTATTTTTACAAAGATATACTTATATGATTGTGTGCTTCATCTACGTGTTAATTACAGTAAAAAACAATGCTTTGACTATTTGTTTTGATAACCAATTGGTTTGATTTAATGTAAATTTGAGAAAAAAGATACCACAGAGTCTGACACATCTTTTAATATTTTGATGTATAAATTTGACAAAAGACGTTAATGGTTATTTAACAGCCAAGCTCTATGGTAAACATGATGACTTCAACTTTTCTGTCGTCACCTTCCCTTACTTATGCAGCAATATACGTTTGTCACTTGCATACGTAGTTTATGTATCTCAACTGATTCGATACACAAGAGCATGCTATACGTACTTATAATTTCTAAAACGAGGTAAATTATTGACAAACAAGTTGATGAAACAAGAATAACTGCAGTTTCTTTTAAAGTCCGTTTGTTAGTTCTATAGTCGATAAAATGACCTTGTCAGCTAATGCAATTTATCATTGAGTCAAATGTAGATTGACATTTTTCATACTGATTGTAAGTCCATTATTTATACACTGAACTAATGACCGGTTTTTCCGTTGTTTTTCGATCATGACAAGGGGCACACGGCGGGTGTGAGCGGTCGGCAGAGGATGCTCTGTGGCACCTAATACCATCTCTAATGTTTTGAAATTCCGTGTATGTTCTGCTTATATTTTGAATTGTTCAATGACTTCTGATCTAGAACACTGTTCATTATCTCCATATGTTTCACTGCAAATTCCTCCTGTCATCACTGTTATTATTAGTTCTTTGTTAACAAGAATTAAATGTTCTCTTTGGACATACACATCTAAAAAGGCGTAACAATCATATTCTTATGTAAAAAAAATACAAAAAACGACAATTGAAACAATTTTTTTATTTTCTGAAAAAATTACTTTGCGGATAGCAAAAAATATTCAGACATTTCCCGAATTCTATTGACACCCTGCTTGCTTTTGAACAAACTTTTTGTCCCTGGTGCGAAAGTAAAAGAAGAAAGCTAATTCTCCTTATATGGCACAATAAAAGTGGGTCTCTCTAGGAAAAGTCTGACACTTATATTTCTAAATTGATTCGATACACAAGAGCATGCTCTACGCATGTACAATTTCGAAAACGAGGTAAACTATTGACAAGTAAGTTGATGAAACAAGTATATCTGCAGTTTCTTTTAAAGTCATCATTTCGTAAGTCCTATGGTCGATACAATGACCTTGTCAGCAAATACAGTTTATCGAATCAACTGAGATATATATACTCCATATGCCGGTGATGAAGGTATATTGCTGCATAAATGAGGGAAGTTGACGATAGAAAAGTTAAAGTCATCACGTTTATCATATAGCTTGGTTGTTACATTACCATTAGTGTCTTTTTCAAGTAAAATATCCAAGTATGAAATAGAAGTGTCGGACTCTGTGGTATCTTTTATCTCAAGCTCACCAGGATATATTGTTTCGACGTGGGAATGGAAATTACCATTATTAATTGACACAACGTCGTCGATATATCTAAATGTCGAGTTGAAGGCCGCAGCAAGTGTTTTGTTCTTTTTACGCATAAGATTTTGCATAAATTCTGCTTCATATGAATATAAAAATAAGTACGTAATTTTCTGATTAATTAAGAGTGATTTTTATTCATTGACACTTTTTTGTCTTTCAACGTTTTTCCCGATGGTAAATGCCACGCACCATATATAGTGAAAATTAGATAAATAAGCACAATATTAACTCATTTATACAATATATTTTTCTCAGTCCATAAAAATTGCATTTGTGTAGAGAGGGTCTTTAAAATGTCAACATTGAAGAGAAAACACAATAAATCAATATTTTTTAAAGACATGATGCTACAACTTGTTGTAAAAATTTATAATAATATAATGGCAAGCATGAAAAAGATATCATTCATTATCAAGTATAAATTATCAAATTATTGGTGTGTGTCTAAAAGAATCACATCAGTTTAAAAAAAAGTATTTTCAATTTAATGATAAGAAAAGTAATATCTTTATATTCTTAAATAAAAGAAAAGGATACAGATTCAAAACTGAGAGTGGGTCCCTTTATATTAACCAAATGCAGAATTTTTTTTTTTAAAAAAAATAATTGAAGTTTGAAGTTTATTTTAAAAATAAGACACATTAATTATTTCTTTTGGTTACAAAAATTTATTTACGCAAATATACAAAAACGCAAGCTTTCAATCTTTAAAAAAGCTCTTTTTTTTCTTACAATATTGGATTAAAGCGTTTCCTGAGTATGTGATTTGAATTTAATGACGGAAAAAATATTTTATACACAGCATGTCTTCGACCTTGACGAAAACAAATACTTTTTTTAATTACACCATGATGTGAAAAACAATTTGAAAAACTGATACGTTAAAATGTCAATATTGAAAAGAAAACACAATAAATTAATATTTTTGTTAGATAAAATACATACTCATATAATGGTAAGTAGAAATAAATATCATTCATTGTCAAGTAAGAAACAATTAGATTTTTGGTTTATGACTAAAAGAATCATAAAGATAAGAAAACTAATTTTCATATATTTTTATACAAAAGATGTGTATTCAAAACTGAGCGTGGACCACTTTACATTGACTTTGTCCCTAATTTTTTGATTATGTGATTTTAAACACAAAATAACGTTACATCTCATAAACAGCAATGAACTGAAATTTACAAGAAAAAAATATTCATTAGCCGTTTTACAGTATTATTCAAAGCATTATAATAACCTGATAAAAACAATGTTGTAAAATGTATCTGAAATTGAGGTATTCATATATTTAAGCAAAGTTTTTGTTGATATCTAATTAAGAAAGTGTTCGTTTTTCTCGTCCCTTTCGTCTCTTTTCATGACGATTTCCTCCTTGTAGATGATGTAGAAGTAGCAGGTGGCGGAGCACAGGATACAGTTGAGGAGGGACACCCCCAGGGGGACGGTCAGACCTATCACGACCTTCTCTTCGTGGTCAAGATTGGCGTCCTTCTCCTTCACTGTTAATTAATAATGAAGATAGATGATGTTACGAGGAAACGCATAGCTATGGATACAGAAATAAATGAATAAAATAATTTTTTTTAAAAATTAGAAAACCTATTGAAATACGCTTATGAATACTACATAGTGACATAAGCAGTATCTTTCTTCCTTTCTCTTGTGGGAATTAAGAGGCTACAACAAATCTTACAGTGTTTTACCACATTAAACATCGTGGTCAAGGTCAGAGTCCTTCTCCTTCACTGTTAATTATACTAGAAGATAAAAGGCGTCATGGTGAAATGCATAGCAATAGATACGCAAATAAATGAATATATTTTTTTTTTCTCAAAATAGAAAGGAAAACTTATTTAAATACGTTTATGAATACTATATCTTAATTATTTACTTTAAAAGGAATGGAATAAAAGGAACACGGTACCTACTATTTTTACACGCCTGACCAGTGTACCCCGGCTCACATCCACTGACACACGTGCCTGACACGTGATGACAGGCCACACCATCTCTACACTAACCACACTGAAACTTAAATTCCTCCCCGTATGTTCCGCTAGGGCACACTAAAGTTTGTTTGAAATAATTTTAATCATTGGAGAAGTGTTAACACATGTTCTTATATCTTGATAATATTTTTGTTCAT